AGGGGCGGCAGCAGCTCCCCTTGTGCTACCGCTCCGGGGAGGGGCGCCTATTGAACTAGGGTTCAAAGACACACACCAGTGGCTCGGGCTACTCTGGTCTGGTGACCTCGACTTCTCGAAGCTGCTCGATGCAAGGCTGGGCGCCGCTTCCGCACAGTGCGCCTCCCTCGCGGGGCATGTTGCTGCCGGAGTCCTTCCGCTCGCTGTGGCGGTTCGCATCTTCGAGACCCAGATCGAAGGCGCACTGCGCTTCGGGCGCTGGATGTGGGCAGTTGCGGAGGGGGCGTCGGACAAGCTTGAACAGAGCTATGGAGCGTGGGCGCGCGCCTTTCTGGGCTGTCCGCCCTGGCGAGGGCAGGCCCACGCTCCCTTGGAGTTGGGCTGGGCTCTCTCCGGGCCTGCCAGGGCCGTGTACGAGGTGGCCTCCCGGCGGGCCGGTCTCTGGAGGCTCCCGACGCAGATCTCTACAAACGGGTTTTCCTGCAGGCCCACGGGTCAGAGGGCCGCACCTGGGCGCAGCTGTCGCTTGCCCTCCTCGAGGCTTGGTCCATCCCGGATTGGCCTGCTTGGGAGGGAATGTATGGAGGGTCGTCCCTGCACGCATACAAGGTCCACGCCCGGGCCCTCCTGAAGGCGCGGTGCGGGGAGGAACTGCGGAGGCAGGCGGGCGTGCTCCAGAGGCCGCTTCCGGTCCTTGCTCTCGGCCCAGTCCCCAGGACGGACCTGGCCGGGGCCCTCAAGCTAGGGTTCCCTTTCGAAGTGCTACTGGGCCAGCGCTCGCTCAGCAGGCTACGGGGGCGGTTGGTCGCCCTAGGGCACTCTTCTGGTTCCCTCTCTTCGGCACGGAGGCAAATGTGTGTGCTCTGCGGGGAGCAGTTTCTGAGTTCAACCTTCCATGTTCTCGGGAGCTGTGGCAGTACGGAGTTCCCCAGGCGCGCTTTCTGGGAGGCCCGAGGGTGCACAGCTCCCTCCTCCAGAGAGGCTGCGGCCACGGCGATTCTGTCGGCTGCCCCGGCAGACGCGGGGTACAAGGAGGCGGCGCTGCTTGCGCTCCACGTGGAGAGGGAGGTGGATCGCTTCTGGGCATCCGCAGGCAACAATTACCTCCCCCCTCCCGCCCTCCCTCCCCTCTGCCCGGGGCGCTGAGGGGGTTGTTTCCTGGTCTGCTGCTCGTTTTTGGGGTCTCGTCGTGGTCACGGCAGGATTCGCCTGGAAATTCTGGTCTGGTGTTGGAAGCTTCGGCTTCGGCATCTTTCGCCCCCCAGTCTCCTGGCAGGCGGGTCGGGTCGGGCTGGATCCTCCCCTCCCTGGGGTGGCTTCCTCTCCCTCCTCCTGTCACCGTCCCGTACCTGCGGGGTACGTCGACCAGGCAGCGTGGGGGGATCGGACGAGCCCCAGGCAGGTGCTCCCTGCCTGGCCCCCCCCACATATGGCGGGGAGTCTCTGAGTTGCCTCTTCTGCTTCGCCCTGGCCGGGGTTTCGGGCGGAGGTCCTTGTTGGAACTGTGGGAATTTTCAAAGGCTTGCACGGTTTTCCAGGGTCGGTTCTGTGCGCCGCCCTCTTGACTCCGCGCAGGTCTTGGAAAGTGCACAGCTCTTACCAACCCTCCCCTCGACCCCTTCAGAGCTGGCGATCTGTCTTCCAGAGCCGTCGCAGCAAGGTCGCTTCCGAACCCTCCCGGGGTCGTGGCCCCTTGCTAAAAGGAAGTCTCGTCCGAAGCTTCCGCCGCCAGCTCAAAGGGAGCACACCATCCATCCTCCCTCCTCCTTCCTCCGCCACCTTCCTCCTTCCTCCTCACCTCCTCCTCCCTCCTCCACCTCCTTGCTCCTCCTCCCACCTCCATCTTCTTCCTCCTTTCTCCCCCTTCTGCCCAACGTGTGCCCTCACGGTCATCACCCCTCCCACGCGCCCCGTCGGGAACTTCACCGAAGGCCGGAGTGGCAGGAATCGCATGCGTCCGCAGGCCCACTTTGGCACACACCTCGCACGTTTCGTGGCCCCATGGGGAGCTCCACCGAATGCCGCAGTGGCAGGAATCACATGCCTCCCCGGGCCCATCTTGGCACACCCCGCACACGCTTCATGGCCTCATGGGGAGCTCCACCAGAGACCGCAGCTGCAGGAAATCACATGCGTCCCTCGGCCCGTTTAGGCACATCCTTCACAAGCTTCGTGGCCTCAAGGAGCTCCGCCGAAGGCCCCAGTGGCAGGAATCACATGCGTCCCCAGGTCCGTTTTGGCACACCACTCACACGTTTCGTGGCCCAAACGGGAGCTCCACCGAAGGCTGCAGTGGCAAGCCTCACATGCGTCCCCCCGCCCGTGTCGCCCCCCCCTGCCCTCCCATCCTTTTTCTCACCTGCCTCGCGCTGCTCGCAGCTGCATGCGGTCGCTAGGAGCCGCTTGCCACCCTTGCCATTGCTGCAAGCTTTTGCGACGACTGTGCGTGGTGCTGAGGCGAGAGCCCCATTTTGACCCCCCCTCCATCCTTGTGAGCGTTGCAAGACGAATGTGCGCTGCGCCAAAGAGGTCGCCTCTCCCCCTCCGTCCTTGCATCGGTTGGACTGCTCCGGCGCCAGGGCGACAGCCTCGGGAGAAACGCCCGGCCCGCCCTGCCGATGCGCTTGAGGGTGCGACGGGGAGGAGTCTTCTATAGAGGGGAGAGGGATTGGCTGTGATAAGGAGGGTGAAATGGGAGCAGCAGATGGGAGGAAAGGAAGAGGAGGAGGAGAAGGAGGAGGAGGAGGAGGAGGAGGAGGAGGAGGAAGAGGAGGAGGAGGAGGAGGAGGATGGCTGCCCCCTCCGCCGCCGTTTCGGCTCGAAGGCGCTGCACGTCTGACGCCTCGCGGTCATCGGGGGGCGCCGACCGTCAGCCTGCACACCAGGCGTGGCCGGGCCGCTCCCGGACGCGGGGGAAGCGCCCCGCTGTCGGGGTGGGCGTACCGGCTCGGGGGGAGGTCCGTCGAGCCCCAAGCGCCCATGCTCATCGCCGGCAGCAGCCTGATGGCCCACCCCGCCCAGGAGCGTTCGGAGTTGCAGCGGGTCACCGAGCGCGCTCCACGGCTCGCAGAGTGCCCATTGCTCGCAGACGTCCGAGAGACGCGTGTCCCTCTCTGCGTCATGGATCGTGAGTTCCCCGAGGCGGGTCCAAGCCACTCGCGAGCAGGTACTCTTTGCGAGCAGTGGAAGGCGCTTGCCTCACGGGGGCCTATCGCCGACCCGTCGGCGATGTATCGCCGATCGCATGCCGATGCCCCCCCCAGCCTGAGCCGGCCCCCCCTCCCTTAGCTTCCCTCTCGCACCGTCAGGGGAACAGGGAGCCAGGGCTGGACCCAAACGCTGTTTTGCTGGACTTCGGCTGTGCTTTGTTTTTCGTTTTGGCAGGGAGGCACAGGAAAACAGGTAGAGCAAAACGGAACACACAACGATAACAAAACGAAAAACAACGTTTAGGTCCAGCCCTGCAGGGAGCCCAAACCTGACCCAAGAGGAGGAGTTCCTCAGGGCTGGTCAGGGACTCCCCCTCCCTAGGGAGAGGCCGAAGTCTGGCCCAGACGGACCACTCCTCGGCCCGATCTCCTGGTTCCACGCTGACCGATCCTGCCGAGCGTGCCAAGGCCAGTCCTGGACGGGATTCGGACGGGGCTAGGGCAAGGATGAATCCGTTCAGAGCGCTCTGGAACGCTCTCAGAGCGTTCCCGAACGCGCTGAGAAAGCCATGTCGCTCGAGACATCCTCCAGAGCCGCCAGGTCTCAGAGTTTCTCGATTTGTCCTCACCCGGTTTTGTCCTCGTCCTGGCCTCGTCTAAGGGGGGGAGTGCTCTTCAAGGGCTCCAGGTGCAGAGCAGGTGGTCGGCGTTCTCCCGCGGTCGTCCGCTCTGCCCGAAGTAATGTTAGCCTCGGGGGCTGCACCGGGGGCGAACTGCCTACGTAGAGAGTGGGGGGGGGAGCCTCACGCGTATTCCCGTCGCATCTTCGAGACGCTGGGGTCGGCGTACAACACGCCGGCCGTTGAGAGTAGGTACTTCTGGACTCCCGGGTCCCAGTCTGCTTCAAGCGCCCTCCTGCTTCAAGAGCCGATATGTGCTTGTGCTGCGTTTTGTCATTCTCTGGGAGGGCCTGAACCCAGTCTACTTTATCCGCCTTCCTACTTCGTGTTCTTACCTGCTCCTTTCCACCGATGTGTATGGGCGGGGGGGCATGCGGGTTTTTGGGCGGGCCCCTGCCGCCGGTGAGGTTGCGCTTCCTGCTCTGCCTGGACCCCGCCTGAGCGCGCGTGCGGACCGTCTCTGCCGCACTGCGACGTAACAATCCGTACGAGAGTGTAGACACAGACGCCCTGCAAAGCAGAGGATTGTTCCTCGGCCTCAGGGGAGGGTGGCGATGCATCAATCACCATTGGGAGTCAGAGACTTCATACATCGCCGCCCTCCCTGAAGGTACCTGCAGAATTCGTTGGAGGGTGTCTGTGTGTATACATATATATATATATATATATATGTGTAGGTTTTCGTGGCGTCAAAGAATGTGTCCGTGGACGCGGACGCCCCCGCGTCCGCGGATAAATAATAAATCAGTGCAATGGTTAACGATAGGAGGGAGAGAACGGATGTCAGATGTCCGGGAGGAGAGATTTCACAGACACACATGGACGTCGATATCCATGACACGCAGAACATAGGGGACTTGTGGAGGGGAAGACGAAACTCCAGAACGTGCTGAAGATATGGGGCGCCCTGGGATCTGTGCCCACTCATTTGTGTGCCCCTGGGCCCCTTCAGATGGATGTGGCGAGATCGAGGAGGAGGAGGAGGAAAAGGATGAGGATGAGGATGAGGAGGAGGAGGAGGAGGAGGAGGAGGAGAGGAGGGAGGAGAGAGGAGGAGGAGGAAGAGGAGAAGGAGTAGGAGTAGGAGGAGGGGGAGGAGAGGAGGAGGAGGAGGAGGAGGAGGAGGAGGAAAGCCCCACCCCCCCCGCTCGGCTTTTCGCCCCCGTCGCAGCCCCGGGCAGCCGCGCTGCTCGCCTGCGGCCTGCTCGGCCTCGGCCGCGGGTCGCGCCTGAAGGCCCCCGCCGCCTCCGAGGACGTCGACGACTTTGGGCTCGACGAGAGCGTCTGGCTGGGCCTCGAGGAGCTCCTCCTCCTCCTCCTCCTCCTCTCCTCCTCTCCTCCTCCTCTCCTCCTCCTCCTCCTCCGTCCTCCTCCTCCCGCCCCCTCCTTCCCTCCTCCTCCCCCTCCCTCCTCCTTCCCTTCCTCCTCCCGCCCTCCTCCTCCCCCTCCTCCTCCTCCTCCTCCTCCTCCTCCTCCTCCTCCTCCGCCTGCTGGTAGTGAAATGAGTACTGCGAGGAAAGCGATGAGGATCATGACCAATGCTGACGGACGAGACCCTGCACTCCCTTCCCGCCCTCCCTGCCGCTTTCGGTGGCTTGCAGGCTGTCTGAGTTAGGACCGACCATCCTCGGGTTACGCCTTCCCCGTGCCTGACACTGCCATGTCTGCGGCGGAAATCGAGCAACATACACGAGAAGATAACGCACGACGATGTGTCCGAGCACGTGCCCTACGCGGCATATGAGAAGTGTGATACGGTTTGCCATCGTACACAGCACACGCACTAAACCTAAGGACAGTGCATCGATACAGTATTCGATGTCAAAGTTAACTGACACAACATGTACAGCAAGAGTTTTAACGGAGGAGAGCAGTTCTCTGAATGCTGCTGCTGCTGCGCCCTCCCGACAGGTAAGAGCAGCAGGACATAACATAAAGATATGGACCATGGACAAGCTGAACCACTCACACATAGTGGCGCTCCAACACCCTGTGGCTGTCAGGCACATCGCGAGCAAATCACAGACTAGGCCGACCGGCATCCACACGATCAAACCTATTCTCTACAAGCGACGCCATCGACGGTGGCACCATCGAAAGAACGTTTTTTTGGCACAATTCACTCACCGTCAGGCATCTTGATAGCCTTGCCACTCGCTGCGTGTTTGATAAGCTGCATCACTTTGTCATCCTTGTTCTTTCCCGTGATTTGCGAACGTCCATATCACCCCAATATCTCATTCAAGACTGTTTGGGTCATGCCTGGGACTCTTGTAACGCGAGCCATGTATGCCTTCATTTCCTCGGGGAGATCCTCAGTATCAGTATCCGGATTATTCCTAGCAGCAATTTTCCACATGCTTCTTGCAGCTTGGCAAGTTTCTGGGATTCACTTTCTTGTTTTTCAGCTTCTGGCTCGGGCTCTTTTTTTACGGCTTCAAGGTATTGGGATGTTGCATCTGGGCAATCATTCCACGAAGGATGGCGGCAGGATCATCCGATGATGTATCTCCTGACAAACTAGATCCACCAGCTGTTTCACGTGCGACTTGAAGAGCTGCTGCGAGGTCTGCACTGGGCTCAGTCTTCTGTTCTCCACCTTCTTTTATAATCAGGAAGAACGGTTTCATGAAATCGTTATCACTCGCTGGTTGTTCGCCACCCTTTTTCATGATAGAGCAGAGTTGCTTCATCATGCCACATTATTTATTTTTGTTCATGTCGCCAGCTTTCATGATATGTGCGAACAGTCTTTGCATATCATTGTCACTGTTCTTTCCTTTTTTTGTAGTTCGGTCGAAGCATCTTGAATTGCCTAGCTGGCATGTCCTCTTCAGCAAGGTCGGTGTCGAAATCAAACTAATCTGACTGCGAAGCACTCATCATTTTGAACGCTCTGGTCATCGAGTTATCTTCAATCTTCTTCGCGCCCTGTTCTTGTTGATCTGCATCATATTTGCAAGTAACTTTATGTTTAATTTCGGCTTCAAGTTTGCTTCGCTGGATGCGCTGCTGCTAGTTGTCTCACTGCTCGACGAAGTATTGTTGTCCATCTTTCTCAACACCCGATTCGTAGCAATCGATACGAAACCCAAACCACGGTTTTTGAGGTTCTTGTCTTTACCAATCGATCTCTTCACGGCCTCGGCATCAGGTTTGAATCCAAACAAGTCTGAACCACATTTGCGCACTCCTCTAGCAATTGACGCACGCACAGATCTTGCCAACGTCTTTGCCTCACGGTGCTGCTCTCGCTCCGTGAACATTTCCTGAAGATCTTGATGCTCCTGCCGTGCTGAGTAGGAGGATGAGGAGGAGGAGGAGGAGGAGGAGGAGGAGGAGGAGGAGGGCGGAGGAGGAGTAGTAGGAGTAGGAGGAGGGCCTGAGCTGTTCTGGTACCGCTGCTCGTACTCGTTCTGCTGCGGGCAGTGCTGCTGCTGCTTGCCGTTGCCCCGGCCTCGACCTCCAGAGCCTCCGCCGCCGCCGCGGCCGCCGGAGCTCCAGGTCATGGTGAGGATGACCACACAGGCGACTGTGCAGGCTGGGGACTGCGTGTAGGCGTTAGTTGCTGGATAGCTTGGCCGAAGCTCGAGCCGAAAGCACACGGACAGACTGGGACAGGAGTGCCTGGAACTCCTCAGCCCGTAACCCTCCCTGGCTTCCGTCCTCATGAAACTCACGGCCATCGCGGGAAGCCTACACGCATTTTCTTGCCGGTCATCTGCGGTGTGCAGGAAACGTGACGTATGCCTGCGCGGAAGCCTACACACATTTTTTTGCCGGTCATCTTGGCAGGCTTTTCGAGACAGAGTAGCTCGGAGATGAGGTCGATACAAATTCTGAGAACGGGCAGTGTCCCCCTCTCCCATGGCATCGTGGCCAATGAGACGCTCCCAAACACGTATGTCCAAAAACCGTTGGGTTAGACAGTTTGGTGCCAACGAAAACATGGGAAATTAAGCATACTTCGGGCTCTTCTCCAATCCTCGAGCACAGTCCTCATTCCCCAGAACGCATCACAACGAGACTCGACGTCATTGGAAGGTTGATGGATTCGGGCTTGGAGGAACGTGATAGGGGAGGGAGGAGGCCTCACATGTGAACCCAACATTTCTAGGGAAAGCATGCTGCAGAGCTTGATATATGCAAGATGTGCACAGGATGCGAGAGAAAGAGATATTATCATCCAACTACATTCTCCCTCCGATTGTCCGATTTTTGGTTCTGGGTTCCTGGGGGGCTGAGGGGGGGGCGACTCTCTCACACGCCTGGAGGCCCACAAGGGGTCCGCGGATCTGTCAGGACCTGTTAGGAGGAGAATTGGGAGGGGGCGTTGCTATAGCGTTGGCGCACCTTGAGTTTACTCAGTTCCTGCTCCTCCTCCTCCTCCCTTTCCTCTCCTCCTCCTCCTCCTCTTCCTCCTCCTCCTCCTCCTCTTCCTCCTCCTCCTCCTCCTTCTCCTCCTCCTCCTCCTCCTCCTCCAGAGGCAGTGCCTCCTGCTCACTGGCCGCGTCCACGCGAGCGCTGTTTCTCCCTGCGGTGCCTCTGCCCTTCGGGGGGCTGCAGGGGAGCTGCCCCTATACCGCCAGCAGGTCCTCGCAGCATCGTGCTGCGGCAGGCGAGGCAGCCTGAGCACCCTCAGCGCCGTCCGGCCTCTCCCTCCCTCTGCCGCCCTCCCCCTCTCGCTCTCCCCCTCTCGCTCTCCCTCTCTCGCTCTCCCCCTCTCCCCCTCCCGCGCTGGAGGCTCGTGCCTCGTGCCCGTGTGTGTGTGTGTGTGTGTGTGTGTGCAGACAGGGCCCGCTTCTCTCTCCTGCACGCCGGGCAATTTGCCCATCGGTTGCCCCGCCCCGCCCCGCGCCAGTGCGGACTGCCTCTGCCGCGCCGCCAGCGAACGAAATGTGCCGACGGGGCGCGCCGAGCTCCCCGAGCGCCGCAGGCCCCATTGTTTTGTTGCCGGTCGGGGTCCCCCACGGCCCGCGCCGCCGGGGGGGGGGATGGCGTCCTTCCCCGCCCCCTGCCAGCTCTGCGGCCCTCCCCGCCCGTGTGCGGCGGGCCCGGGCGGCGGTCCAGCCCCGCTGGGCCTGGGCGTGCCGCCGTCCGAGCTGTGGCGCTCTCCCCCCTCCCCCCCGCCGCCGCCCCCCCCCCCTCCCCCTCCCCAGGCCTCCGACGCTGTGGCCCGTGCCCGAGCCCGTGGGCCCCCGTGGGGCCCTCGGCCCCTCCTCCCCGCCTCAGGGGGCCAGTCTTTCGCCCCGGGGCCGCTGCCGGAGCGCCCCGTCGGGGCCCGGAAGCGGCCCGCGGCGGCCGAGAGCGGGAGGCCGCGCGGGGGTCGGGGCGCCATGGCGTCGGAGGCCTGGGCCTCCAGGACGAGAACGCCTCGGGGTTCGAGCCTCTGCTGGGCCATGTGTCTCCAGGGCCATCGGGCGCGGTGTCGGCGGCGAACGTGTCGGTGCTGTCTGGCTCGCTGGGCGGCGAGTCCGTGCTGCTGATGGGCATGTTCAACACGGGGACCAACCTGCTGGAGAAGCTTTTGAGTCTCAATCCGCCTGCGCTGCCGTGCGTGTCCGCCATTGGTGGTGTTCGGGTCTGCGCGCAAACAGGCACCGCGTCCAGGCTTGCGTCCAAAGGCACCCCCAGCAGTCCAAAATCATTCGGACACCTTGGGGTACTGAGTGGTTTTGGCGTTCCCGTCTTTTCACTTACGAGGGGCTTCTGAGGCCTGAAGATTGCTCACAGTGGAGCTCAGAAGGTTTCCAAGAGGATCTCGAGGCCTCCAAGATGGCCCGAAGAGGGTCCAAGATGGGCCCACGAATAGGATTAATGGGTAGCAGGCCACACAACGGCCCTGAAGGCACACTTGACGCGTTCTACACCCCAGGGTTGGGATGCTGAAGCCGCCTGGGGCTGTTCTGGGGGACTGCTGAGGCTAGCCTGCGCTCCTCTGGGGGCTGTCTGAGCGCAGCCCCGAGCATTGCCGTCCACTACCGCGCTTGTCGGAGGGGGGAGGGGGCTGGGGTTGGTGGGCGGGGTGGCCAGTGGGCGGGTGATCCGTGGAACTCCCCGCCGGAAGTTTTGTTTCGGGCTCCCCTGCCTCGTGTGAAAGGCGAGAGGAGGTGCGGGCTCGGAGCCATATGTGGACTCATGCTGGGTTCGATGCGTCGGGGGCCACATTTAGTGCTGCGAGAGACGATGGGCCCGTCGCGCACACGCACACACACACACACCAATTACTCACTGCGTGGAACTCCCCAGATGTGGATCCCTTTAAGCATAGAGTTTGTATTTGGGATCTGTATATGAGTGTCTAACCATATGACTTATATTTGCATCTCATGTTGTAGGACAATGCCATGGTTAGCACCTGTCTATGATACTATTGATCTAAGAGCGCGTCCATGTGAGCGACGAGCACACGTGCGCGCAGCTCGGCTGTACATTCAACACATGTACACATTCATTCACATGCATATGTTAGCGCATTTGCTGCCAAGGCGAAGAATTCCACTGGTACCGCGTCCGAAGCACCAGGGAAGAGTACGACAGACAAGTGCTTCAAACGGCACCTCGCGATAAACTCCTCAGCTTTAACCGTCCGCTCTTCGCATCGGGCCTTTCGGCGTCCTCCAGCCTGCACGAGTCTCCTATGTCGCACAAAGGCACTCTGCGTCATCAGTCATTGCTCCACTCGCACACAGGGTGACGAACAATGGCGGTCTTCGACCCTATTCAGAAATATGATGGGTGGGGATGGCCTTCAACCGAGAGCGCCCTCCTTCGGATCACCAGATCCGCCCCGGATAACGATCCCCCTGCCTGCGCGAGCCTGCACAGCTGCAGAAAAACATTCTGCGTCGACAGTGATTTCTCCACTCACCCACCTGGGGTGTAATAAAGACGGCCTTCAACCAAGAACGCCCTGCCGTCCTGTGGATCACTGGATCTGCCCCCTGAGGCCAACCTCCCCCGAGGCCGACTCGGCCCCCGGAAGCCCGAGCGAGGACGCGACAGAGGTGCATGGAGGAAGCGCACAGGAGAGGAAGCGGAGGAGCGAAAGAGAGAAGGAAACCAGCGCCTTTAAGGGTGCTGAAACCAGCGCCCCGCCTTAGACATGTTCGAAATCTGTTCTGAAAGCAAAGGATGTTGAGCCACAAGACAAGCGAGCCGCCTGAGACATCCCCACAAACTGGCCGCGAACGGGCCCGTGTCATACCCTCTGGCGGCTCCCCTTATGGGGGACTGAAACCAGCGCCCCGCCTGAGACATCCTCCAAATCTGCTCTGACAGCAAAGGATGTTGAGCCACAAAACAGGCAAACCGCTTGCGACATCCCCACGAACTGGCCGCGAAAGGGCCCGTGAAAACACCCCAGGCGGTTCCCCATTAGGGGTGTTGAAACCAGCGCCCCGCCAGAGACATTTTCGCAAACTGTTATGAACGCGGGCGATGCGGAGCACGGAAACAGCAAAACCGCCTGAGACATCCCCACAATCTGGCAGTGAACGGGCCCGTGAAAGCACCCCTCTGGCGGCTCCCCATTGAGGGTGCTGAAACCAGCGCCCCGCCTGAGACATCCTCACAATCTAGTTTATACGCAGACAGTGTTGGCCACCGAAACAGGCAAACCGCTTGAGACATGCCCGCAAACTGGCCGCGAACGGGCCCGTGCAATACCTTCCAGCGGCTCCCCGTAGGGGGTGCTGAAACCAGTGCCCCGCCTGGGACATTTTCGCAATCTGCTCTAAACGCAGACGGTGTTGGCCACCGAAACAGGCAAACCGCCTGAGACATCCCCGCAAACTGGCCGCGAACGGGCCCATGCAGTACCTCCTGGCAGCTCCCCGTAATGGTGCTGAAACCAGCGCCCCGCTTGAGACATCCTCACAATCTGGTCTATACGCAGACGATGTTGGCCACCGAAACAGGCAAACCGCTTGAGACAACCCCGCTAACTAGCCCCGAACGGGCCCGTGCAATGCGCCCTGGCGACTCCCCTTAGGGGTGCTGAAGACAGCGCGCCGCCTGAGACATCTTCACAATCTGGTTTATACGCATACGATGTGACATGCGAGCCGCTTGAGACATCCCCGCAAACTGGCCGCGAACGGGCCCATGCAGTACCTCCTGGCGGCTCCCCTTTCAGAGGGGCTCTGGTTTCCCCTTAAGGTTTAATTTTGGGTCTAGTGGCGGTGAACACCACGCGCGCGCACATCATGCGCCCACCCGCGCACAGACACGCACGGACACGCACGGTGGTTAAAGTTCTCAAGAACCGAACGGTGGTAAAATTCTAGAAACGCCACTCCTGTTCCGATCGCCGAGGGGCGCGGGTGGCCGCGAAAAGAATTTGTTTCGCTTTTTAATATTATAGAGGTGTCACTGGGGACGTTTGAATCATCTTCGCCCTAACAGATGCCCAAGTGTTTGTAGGGTTCCCAATCCCTGAATCACTCCACAGCAGTCCGAATCATTATTGAATCACCACGGAATCACACCTGAATCACCCCTGAATCATCCGTCCCGGGAGCCCAAAAAAGCAACGCGCGGGAAGCCCTTGGGGGGCTTCCGCTTATTTTCACGGTTCCAAAAGCCTACATCGCTCTCACATTGTCCAGATCCTCGTGGGCTCATTGCTGCATCACACCCCCATCATTCCTGCATCATCCGTTGTGGGAGTCCACCACCGCCAGGCGCGGGAAGGCCATGGAGGATTTCTTTCCTACCGGGGGAAGCCTTTCCAGGGCGTCGCGTTCGGTTTGCTCGACGCCTACATGGCGACAGCTTCTAATAAGACATAGCGACTGGCTCCTGCGGCAATGCTGGAAAATGTAGCCCCCGCATCGGGGCCGCGCCTGCTCGCGCGCACATGCGCTCAGTGGCTGATCCTATAGCCGTCGCGATCCACGAGCTTCTGCGCCCGCTGTTTGAAAGCGCGGCGCAGTTCGTCAACGTTCAGGGTGTCGTTGATCTCCCGGACCACGCCCTTCAGGCGCGTCGCAAATTCTTCAGGCGTTTCTTTCCAGGGCTTCGTTATCCTATTCATGGCCTCTCTTCGACGGATCCCCGACGCTGCAGCCAGGTGCCCGCCGCCGGCTTTCGTCGCGTGAGCAGCCGCAGAAGACCGCATCCCGTAAGTTGTATCGTGTGCCGCTTTCCAGGCCTCTCGGAAAGCCCAGGCGCGAGCCTCTCCTGGCCGCCTGTCTTGCCTGTCTTGCCGCTAGGGCCGTGGCCTCGGTGATCCCGAGTTTCTGAAAGCCCGAGGAGGGGTCTTCGCGTGCCCTCGGCCGATGTCTATTGGAAACAAGAACGCAACATTCAAAAGTCGAACGGGTGAGAAAAGCGCGCGGGCGCGCTTTCCTTGGGGCAGCGACCCAGGAAGAGCGAGGAGGCAGGGATTGCGCGAGTGGGGCGGCAACTTCAATCCTAAGAGAAACCTGGGCCTGTCTGTGCGGGGTGCTGAAGCCAGCGCGCCGCCTGTGACATCTCACAAACTGCTGTCAACACACATGATGTTGGGCACCCCGACAAGCAAGCCGCCTGAGAGGCCGTGCAATACCCCTCTGGCGGATCCCCCTCGGGGTCCAGAAACGAAAGCCCCACCTGAGACATCCGCCGGATTTTCTGAATATGAATGAATGAGTGCGACAGAGTCTTGGCATAGCTGAATCCGAGAGCGTATGAGTATGAGTGAGTTCGAATGTGAACAGCTCTGAATAGTATGAGTGCGAAGGAATCTGAGTATGGACGAAGCCAAGTAGGAGGAGACGAGAATGGGAGGAGGCCTGACTGAGGAGTCGGCGGCGTCAGAGTAAGATTAATAACCCCATCTCAGGATAGGTGGAACAAACAAACAAGCAAGCACGCGACCAAGCAGCCAAACAAACACACAAACAACTAAACGAACACATAAACACACAAACAAACTAAGAAGCACATACAAACAAACCATACATACGCACATTAAGGTCTGTGGAGCAGAGGATCCTCAGGCGCGAGCAGCAGATGAAAGCGTTAATTGCGATCGATCATGGTGTCGACGGGGCAGTGTGCAAACCCGTGCAGTGTCAAATGCAGCAATGGGTGGGGTGAAAGAGGAATTGTACATCCAAGCGAAACGTGCAGCGGCCAGGAATCCGAGGAGGCAACTCAACTTGAAGTCAAACTGAAGCGCGACCAGCCCGGTGCGAATTGGCGGCCACTGGATCACCAAAAAGAGGTGTTAGACAATGGAGCGAAACAAAAAGAAAGCAATGCGCGCGCACGCACGCGCGCGCACGCCCACGCGCGCGCACACGCACGCACGCACACCCACTCTCTCCCCCACGCACACACACACACACTTTTTGCGTCTGAGGCTAGGCAGAGTGACTGCGCTGGCGATGGGACCCACACACACGCATCCACGCGCGCGCGCGCCCACACGCGCCCACATGCACGCGCCCGCGCCCACGCCCACACCCACGCACACCCACACACGCCCCCACACACACCCACACGCACGCACAAACGTGGAGCTGGAAACGGCCGCATGCGGAGGATGCTCGTGGCGAGCTCTCCCTCGACGCTGGGTCTGCGCCCGAGTCGAGGGACGGCGTCTCCTCCGTGGCAGTGGATGACGACGACTTCGCGATGCTCAACAGGGGGCGCGACGAGCCTGCCGCCGAGCTCCTGACGGGCTCGCGCGGCGACGTGGCCTCTTGCGACCGAGGCCCACGCAGAGCCCGTGCCTGTGACGATGGCGGCCGCTGGCGGAGCCGGCGTCGAAGCCGTGCTGGAGGAGAGAGCGGCGCGCTTTGAGTTCAACGCCGTGCTCCACGGGCGCCTCCGGGAGGTGGAGGCGCCGCCGGCGATGCAGTGCCCCGTGCCCAGCCCCCATGCCGTCGCGACGGGCAGCCCGCGCTGGGTTGACGTCGTGCGCGCCACCTGGGGGGGTCGCGCGCGGGGGGAGGCACCTGATCGGCGCGCGTGCGAGTGGAGGGGCAAGGGGCCCACCTGGGAGGGTCGGCCTCCGCGCGAGCCGTCGCGGGCGCCCGCCAAGGACGCTGCCAGGCAGGGCCCGTAGGCCACGCGAGTGCCAGACTTGGGAGCCAGGTCCCTGAGGCAGGCCCGGCCAGGTGCGTGACGCGTTGGCCTGCGCAATTTGGGCGCTGTGCAACCGGGCTGCCGGGCTGGTCCCCGGCTGGCCAGGAGGCGCTGCTGGCGCGCTTGCCTCCCTGGTCATTGCCCCCGCCTGCCTGCGCCTGTCGCTCCTGCTGCTGGCGCCGCGCGTCGCTCCGGTCGACGTCGATGTGCCGGTGCCGGCAATGGGCCCGTATGGCGCAGAAAGCGCACAGGTCGGACAGGAATTGCTTGCGTAAATTTCTGAATCCGCCAGGGTTGTAGCGACCCTTGCCCCGTGCCTTGCCGTTTCGCGCATCGCAGGCCTGGATCCAGCCTTCCACAGACATCGCATCGCAGGTAGCTTGAGGCGATCGATGAGTTCCAGCCGGGTCTCTAAGCGTTCCCTCCTGGGGTTCTTCTACGGCGTCCAGCGGGCGCCGCGCTGGGGCGCCCGGTAGAGGCCGTCGTGCGGGTCGCTCCAGTCACGCCAGCGGTGGGAAGGATCGCTCTCGCAGGGGCGTTAGCGGCCGGGGCGCTGCGCCAGTGGGACGTAGGTCTCCAGGTGCTGTCGGGGGAACCACCCCCGCCGCGCTGGACCTGCCAGAAGCACTGTAGCGAACTGAGCGCCAGGTTGAGGCGTCGGGGGGCGCATGGCCCGCGTCGCTTCCCTGGCGCGGCTGCCCCTCCCCCTCGCCGCCCCCCTCGTCGCCGCCCCAGTCGGGGGTGGGGCTGCTTCGCTCGGTGCCCGTCTGCCCGGCTGGGCAGGGGGTGGCCTCGCTCTTGGTTCTCCTTGGAGCGGAGCCACCGGTCTCCCCGTCGCCGGGGTTTTCCAGTTGGGCGGACCTGACGCGTTGCGTCGGGTTCGCTGAGGGGTTGGCGGCTGCGGTGTGCGAAGCTGCAGTTCCTGTCCAAGTTGCCCTGCTTCGCTCGTTCTTCACCCGGCGATTCTTTCCGGAGTGGCGCGCTCTCCGCAGACGCGCCGGGGCTCGAAGCGAGGTGCGCGCTGGAAGCGCGGGCTCTCAAACCCAGTCTGCGGGGCCCCCTTCGTCGCGCGGGCCCTGGCTGGAGAAGAGGTCTCTTCTCGTTGCTCCGCGAGGCTGTCGTCGTGCGCCGCCGCTGCGCGCGCGCACGGACATGCGCGCGCACTTTTTTCGTCGGCGGCTAGGCAGACTCATTGCGCTGGCGAGGAATCAAAACGGGGCTGCCGTTAAGCGAATTGTGCCACCATTCAGGAGACGGGGGAGGAGACAACGAAGCGACGGCCGAAGAGGAGGTGGACGCGGGCCGGGCCGCTCAGGGGAAAGTGTCGTTCCCCCGGGCGCGTGGCGCGGCCGTCGCCGCCGCGGGGCCAGCAGCAGCAACGGGGCTGGAGGGCCAGAGGCGGCGGGGGCAGATGCTGACCAGGTCAGGTCAGTTGGCAAGGTTACATGTCGCGTACAGCCAAGTAAGCGACAAAGGGCGAAGTGGGGCGGGGGAAGGCGCGGGCGGCAAGACCAGCCCAGGTGCCAGGCGCGGAAAGGCAGACGGCCAGCAGGCAGAAGACACCACACACACGCAGACGCACGCGCACATACACATGCACGCGCGCACATGCACACTCACGCGCAGGCGCACACGCACACTCTCACGCACACGCACGCGCACATGCGTACGCACACGCACACGCACGCGCACATGCACGCACGCACACACATACGCACGCACACGCCCACACAAACCACACACACACGCACACGCGCACCCACGCACACACGCACACGCACACACACACACACAAGTGCGCACGCACGCACGTACGCGCATGCGCACGCGCACGCGCACACGCACGCACGCGCACGCACGCGCACACACGCACACGCACACGCACACACACGCACACACACACACACGCACACACACACCAACCTTTTCACAGTCGGGCGGCGGATTTCGGCATCCACCAGAGTGGCGCCTACGGGGTCTGGAAGCACATCAAGCCAGAGCATCTTAGGCAGCGGCTGGTGGAGAAGGGCATGTCTCATGTCCTGACGACGAGTGGCACCGTGGGCATCGCCATGGTCCGCGATCCTATGTCGTGGATCCAGTCGATGAGGAAAGCCCCGTACGACCTGAAGGGCTGCATGGCCACGTGGGAGTGGCCCACCTCGAGCTGCACCTTCCCCAGGCCCCGTGTGCAGGGATCAACAATCTGGGGCGCAAACACGATCAGCCACGAGAGCGACTTCTCCGTGCAGAGCATCGAGTGGGTGTGGAATCAGTGGAACTCGGAGTACGACCAGCTGGCCTCCGTCGCGGGCTTCGCTCCTGGCAAGACCGTAGTCGTCACTTACGAGGAGCCGAGGATAAATTTCGTTCCCCGCTTTTGCTGTCCACGAAGATCCGACGCTCCCCCAAAATGGGGGCGGCGGGATTTTGGCAGTTTTCGGCCCCGGGGGCCCCCGCCGGACCCCGGGAGCGTGAGACAGCGGCTCGGGACGAGCACCGGGCCCCGGGAAAGTGGTTTGGACCTCCGGGGCCCACGCATCGAAAAGCTTGGAGCGGCCGGATGTCTCGGTCAAGACATCTGGTCGGACCCATCATCCGCTCTCTTTGGTGTTCCCCATCTGACATCCAGTCTGGTCTGCGCTGGTAGCGGGGGTGCCCCGAAGCGGGGGGGGAGTTCCATCTTCCGAGAGGAGCTTGTCCTGGACACAGTCGGAGCGCTGGGGAAGATAGCGGCTGTCCTTGGCAGGCCGGCGCCAGCAAGCGTGAAACAGCTGTTCGCCCCGGCCAAGAACCACGGGATGCCCAACGGCCGGATGCAGGCCATCGCGAAGCTGAAGAACAAGCCGTACTTGGCTCAATACTCCCAGGTGCAGCTGCAGCAGGTCTGCGCAAGGCTGGACAAGCAGCTCATGCACTCCCACGGCTACCACGACTGCGACTCTGTGTGATCGGCGTCACCCCAACATACCTGTGCTGTATGTGCGTCGCCCCCTCCAGGGGCGACGCGCGCATCGAGAAGTCTGATCGTAGGTGCGTCGTGGCGGTTGCTTTCTGGCCACACCGCTCGGGAAACGATATAACACAAGATGAGTCTAGGGCCGCCATCCAGGCCGAAGCCTCTGCGGCGGCGGCGCCCTCGTCCCGTCCAGCCGGCGGCCAGGCCCCCCTCGGCGGGGCTCGGGGTGCTGGGCCTCGTTGGCGCCGCCCCGCGGGGCTGGCCGTCGGCTGCGCGCGTCGCGAAACGGGGTGTCGACTGCGCGTAGGAGTGGCCCTCCGCCGGAGTGGCCTTCTGCGCGGGCTCACCGGGGTCCCCTGGGTCGCCGAGCGCGATGCGGCAGCGGCCGCCTGCGGGCTTGGATGTGGTCACCTCGCGCCTCGGGAGTCCGCGCACCAGAGGTCACCCTCTGCCCAGGGTCACTCTTGCGTGTGGCCGAGGGTGGCCTTCTGGTGCGGGCCCTCGCGGAGGCTCGGGGCTCAAGGCTTTCGGGCGTTTCGCTCGGTTCGTGGAGGTTTTCCAACCCTGGGGGTGCGTTCCAGCAGCTGCGCCGCCCCGAGGGCGTCCCCCGGGGGTGCCCGAAGCGTCCCGAACGGCAGACGGAGACCCCAGCTATGACCCGACAGCCAGCGCTGGTCGCCATGAAGGAGAGTGGTTCTGATGGAAGCGGCTCCCATACCCATGTCGACCAAAAACCAAACATCACCACGCCACCTGCGGTCCTCCACGTTGCTCTACGGCCCATCGGGGGCCGCAGCGTCTACCACGCAAACGCCCAAATCAGATTTCATGGCATATGCTAAGGCCCGTGGGGCCGTATATGGGGTGGTGTCGTTTGTTTCCTGGTCCACCGTGGGCTTTCCAAGGAGAAGCTCTTCACCCTGGACTGTCTTCTGACGGTCCCCGGGGGCCTGGGCGCGGCCCCCGAGGCCCAAGGCAGCGAAGAGTTTCAGGACACCTCTTCCTCGGGATCCTTTTCCTTTCTACGCCCCCCCACCCCCAAAAAGAAATACACCACCACCCCACCACCACCACCACCACCACCACCACCACCACCACCACCACCACCACCACCACCACCACCACCACCACCACCACCACCACCACCACCACTTCCCAGGAAAGAGGAGGGAAGAGGAGAGCAGAGGAGGGAGGGGGAATGGAGGTGGTGGTGTATATTCTTGAGGCCCTCGCTTGCTCAGGCCGCGTAAACTGGCCTGCGCGCGTGGATCTGTTGGGTGTTCGATCATGGGCCCCTTGCTGAACGCAAGCTGCCAGCTTTCGCGCCGAACACCGCCGAAGACCACACCGAAGGAAGCCGAAGACCGCGGGAAACCGCCGAAGACCGCCGGAGACCCCAGGAACCGCCGGAAGCCGCCGAGCACCGCCGGAAGATTCCCCGAGGCAGACGGGCAGCACGGGGGTCCATGGTCGATGGCGCAGGACCTGGCCCCCCCGTGGCCCACCAGCGCCGTGCACCGAAGGTCACTCCTGTCCAGAGTCGCTCCTGCCGGGCCTCTGCACGAGAAGGGTCGCGGGCCAGGCCTGGCCGCCGCCATCTCTGAGGCCTCACGGGGCGATCAGACGGACTCATGGCCAGGTCAAAGGATGGTCCAGCCAACTAGTCACGCAGAGCCAGCCGCATTTGTCCCCCAAGCCGCCTTTGCTTCGATCCTCGTTCTGGGTAGCAGCTGATGCTATCCCTCTCCTTCCTCCTCCTTCTGGTGCACCCGTCGTTTCTTCTCTCTGCTCTCGTCCTCTTTTCTATCACTCCCTTCTTGCCCACTCACTTTCATGTGCACCTCACCCCTTTGGGTGGGTTCCAGCGGAGTGCCCCCCCCCTCCCCCGCAAACCTAAGTACGCCTGCCAAACGACGTACAACTGTCTCCACTTACCTGCACCCCAGAAGGGGGTGCAGCGGAGTCCCCCCATCTACAGATCAAACTAGGGCCGCCCATGACGCTACCAAACGTGCAGATGTCGCAATCTTGCCCGCGTTCATAGGGGTCCAGCCGAGGGCCGCTGTGCGCAGATCAAGCGGCCTCGCTCCCTCTGGGTGTTGCCGTACGTGTAGCTCTTGGCATTTTCCTGTGCTCCTTGGGAGGGTCCAGCGGAGTGCCGCCCAGGAAATTCAAAAACCAGGCCTTGCCTCCCCTAGGCGGTCCCAAACGTATGCCTTGTCTCGCTCTCCTGGGCCCAACCAGGGTCCAGCGGAACGTCCCCTTGCGCAGATCAGACTAGACCTCACCCGCTCAGGCGGTCCCAAGACTATGCGTAGCTCTCGCCGCTTCCCTGAGCCTCTGAGGAGCCGAACTGGTCTTTGCTCGCCCTAGGCGGTTCGTCCCACTCGCACAGCCACCGCCTCTCCCCGCGGCGTGACCCCCTCACGCAGATCAACCCCGACCTCGCCCCTCTTGGGTGCTGCCAGGGGTGCATCAGCCGCCACTTGCCCGCGGCCCTGGGGGGTCCAGAGGGGTGCCGCATTGCGCAAGTGACATTGGGCTTGGGTGTTGCAAAGCGTGCAACTGTCGCCATTCTCCCGCGCCCCTGGGGGTCTCTTACGTGGTGCCGGATGGTGCAAGTCATATTGGGCTTCTCGTCCCCCAGGGGTGGTGCAAAGCGTGCAGCTGTCGCCATTTTCTTGCCCTGCTGTTGGGGTCGACTGGGGTGCCGGATCGCGTCGAGCGGTTTTCCCTCTTCCCTCCTCTTCCGGGGGTGGCAGAAACCTACTCCACTTCAGCGCCTTCCTACCTCATGGTTCCTGGTTCTACGTGCTTCTTCCGACTGGCGGGTGTGCAGTTCAAACTGGACCTTGCCCGCCCTGGGTTCTGCCAAGCGTGCACGCCGTCGCAGTGCTGCGGCGCCCCGAGGGATGGCTGGGCTCCTGGCGCAGAGCAGGTGCTGGCCTCTCCGCCAGGGGGTCTCCCTCCCACTCCTCCTCCTCCTCCTCCTCCTCCTCCTCCTCCTACTACTACTACTACTACTACTACTACTACTACTACTACTACTACTACTACTACTACTACTACTACTACTACTACTACTACTACTACTACTACTACTACTACTACTACTACTACTACTACTACTACTACTACTACTACTACTACTACTACTACTACTACTACTGCTGCTGCTACTACTACTACCCTACTTTACTACTTACTACTATACTACTCTACTACTGATACTACTACTACTACTACTAGTACTGACTACTACTACTACTACTACTACTACTACCACCACTACTACTACTACTACAGCAGCAACAGCCACTACTACCACTACTACAACTACTACTGCTACTATAACTACTACTACTAACTGCTACCACAACTACTACTACTATACTAACTGTTACTACTACTACTACTACTACTAACTACTACTACTGCTACTACTACTACTACTACCACTACACTACTACTACTACTACTACTACTACTACTACTAAACCACTTCTTCTTCTTCTTCTACTACTACTACTACTACCACTCCTACTACTACTTCTACTACTACGACTACTACTACGACTACTACTACTACGACTATTACTACTACTACCACTAAAACAACTACAACTACAACTACTACAACAACTACTACTACTACTACCATCATTAGTATTACTCCTACTACTACTACTACTAACTACTACTACTTATAAATAGTAGTAGTTAGTGTAATAGTAGTAGTAGTAGTAAGTATACTACTACTTCTACTACTTTCATACTACTACTACTACTAGTTACTAGTACTAGTACTAGTACTAGTACTAGTACTAGTACTAGTACTAGTGCTACTACTACTACTACTACTACTACTACTACCACTACTACTACTACTAACTACTACTACTACTACTACGACGACTGCTACTACTACTACTACTTCTACTACTACTACGACGACTACTACTACTACTACTACTACTACTACTACTACTACTACTACTACTACTACTACTACCTACTACCTACTACTACTACTACTACCTACTACCTACTACTACTACTACTACTACTACTACTACTCCCACTACTACTTCTTCTTCTACTATTACTACTATTATTACTACTACTACTACAACAACAACTACTACTACTTTTACTACGAGGCACACTTCACGCCACAGAGGAGCAGCTGGAGCGCGAAAGCATCACAGCCAATTTCGACTCGATACTGGCTACGCAGTGCTATGCAATGGTCTTGACCATGTGGTACTATGCGCCATGCAGTGCTAAATGCCATGCAGTGCGGCGCCATGCTACGTTATTCCATGGCATGCTATCGTACGCAGTGCTGTGCCATGCTGTGCTGCGCTGCGGTATACGCTGGAATGCAGTGGTACGATGTGCCGGTGTGCCTGTGCAATGCAATGCAATGCAGTGCAATGCGATGCCATGCAGTGCAGTGTTGTGCTATGCCGTGCTTTGCGCTGCTGAACAATACAAGTCACCATCATAGCATGCCATGCTATAGCATGATCTGCTATTCGATGCTGCGCGCCGCGCCTATGCCATAAGATGCTAGGCGGCTGTGCCGTGATATGCTAGGCCCTAGCTGCAAGGCGGTGTGCGTTAAGCTATGTGGTGCTATGCTGTGTGGCGCTTTGCATTCCGCTGCCTCGCGATGCACTGCTCCTCATTGTCTTGCATGTCACGGGTACGCTTTCAGCAGTGAGAATCTTCGTCATTGCGGTAGTGCCGCGTCCACTTTTCCATAACAGTC